CATATATATATATATATATATATATATATATATATATATATACATACATATATGTGTATATGTATATATATGTACATACTTGCACACGCTCGTGCACACACACATATATCTATATGTATATGTAGACACACACATATGTATATATATGCGTGTTGTGTGCATATATATCTATATGTATATGTATACACACACAGATATATATACACACACACACGCACAGATGTATATATGTGTGTTGTGTGCATATATATCTATATGTATATGTACACACACGCACACATACGTACGTACATACATACATACATAGACACAACACACACACACTTTTATGCATACGTATACATATATATGTGTCTATGTATGTATGTTTGTATATGTGTGTGTATCGATTATTGGGATTTATCGGACGGTCAAAATCTATATCGGATAACGAATATCGGGGATTAGTAATATTTATCGGAGTGACGTTACCACATGATGATAATATAATATTTTAAAATGTAAAATATAAACATTCCAAATTGTAAATAATTATGTTTAGGATTTAACTATTGGTAGAAACTTGGGTTGGGTCGGGTTTAAAGTGCATTGAATAGGTGCTCGTTGCCCAAAATCAAAACTCAAACTAAAAGCCGAAAATTTTGATTTTTGAGCCGACAATATCGGTCGATAACTCAGTTTATTGCTGCACTATTAGCTATAAACATCCAAAAATGATAACCGTTTTAGAATCGAACTTATCATAGCGGAAGACCCCAAAATCGATAAATCGGTGATAATATCGGTTTATCAGCTGATATTTAAAACATTGTGTACACACACATGTACATATATGTGTGTGTTGTGTGTGTGTCTATGTATACATATATGTATATACACACATATACATATATGTATATTAGAAAAATGGAGAAGAGCTGGCCAGCTCTTCTCCCCGTGAGCTGACAGGTGTATGATATGTGAGCCCCCTACTAGTCACATCGATGTGGGGGCTCACATGTCATACACCTGTCAGCTCACGGGGGAGAAGAGCT